TAATAGCGCTCCCTACTCATCGCGCGCTCAATCTGTTCTGGCGGGCGGTGCAGACTTCTACATATTATCATCTTTTTTCCGTGCACGCTTGGTCCACGGTACATATATCTTCGTCGTATCTCCTTCTCTGTGTTTCTTTATCTACGTGTTACAATGCTTCCTATATGCTAAACAGCTGGAGGTGCTCTCGTCCGAGACAGACCGCGCGCGCGCATAAGATAATGCACTCCATGCCGTATTGCTCTTTGCTTCGCACTCTCAATATAAAATCTAGGTACCACATATAGAAGGTTTCGTATATTTAGGGGCTCTATATCTATATATCTATCTATCTATCTATCTATCTATATATATATATATATATATTGTGTGTGTGCACTTGAAGTAAGGCAAAATGTGGGTGTGGGACAAAAAGGCTACAGATGGACAAGGAAGAGCAATGTGGACCGATAACATCAAGGCAAGGACTGGCGGAGGCCAGCAGCTGCCGTAGTGTAGTACACTCTCTCGTGTTTCTTAGTGTTGAGGAAAAAGAGCAGCGACCGTAAGCATACAAGTAATATTTTGCGGTCATTACACGACAAACTCTGAGCCAGAGATGACACGTCCAGGTATCCAGGTAGTCTGACGACAGTCGTAAAAGACCAGGAATAGATGTTAACAAAGATCGCACTTTCCCTCTGTCTGTCTTACTTTTCCCCAACACTATGACCATTTTTGTGCCGATGTGGTGGGGGGAGGAGGGAGTGGGGGAGGTAAGTGTTTTACGGTTTGTTCTTTAAAGTGCTTGCATGAGGTAGGGGGTTAAAGTATTGAAGAGTTACTGAGATTGGGGTGTTCTGAGAGGGGGTAAAAAAAAAAGGGTGTGGGTTGGGGGAAGGGGGTAGGTGGAATTCAACAAAATTACTAATTTTTAGCCAACTTCCCATTTTTGAGTGTATCATCCTGGTCGTTCTCAAAGTTCCAATCGTGTGAGTGGCCCATCTGCAACGTCTTCTTGTAGCCCCAGTACGGGGTAGTCATAAACGTGAACATGCTGAGCGCCGCATACACCGATAGAAACGTCGACCACGGCATGTCCGCCCAGATGGCCTGGCGGTGCGTGAAGGTGTTCCACCAGATGTGACACTCCACCACAGAGCGCAGGTGGAAGGCGTGGAGCAGCAACTGAAGAGCTCACAAGAATGATACAATACCAGGTAGCAAACTCAACGTTCCCAAAGTACGTTTAATTTATTTTGCTCATTGAAATTAACGTATGAAACTGAAGAGCTCACAAGAATGATACACTCGAATTTGTCTTTTATGATTGTGAAAACGTGCAGCGCAATCTTAAGATTGCCGCGAAATTATACAATCATTAGATTGCGCCGATTGGTAAGTAGCGCAGAACACTAATAATATCCCCCCTTTGAGAATGGCCTAAAGACAACTTCAGTCAGTAGTACTGCACTGGTGGGGTTTCTTGATAGAGTAGACAATACCAATTAATATATTTCAGAAAGTTTATTATCGACTTTCGAGTTTTTCTTGATTTTGTTTGTTCTATAAAGTGCTTGCATGAGGTAGGGAGTTTAAGTATTGAAGAGTTATAAATGTACTGAGATTGGGGTGTTCTGACAGGGGGTGAAAAAAGGTGTGGGTAGGGGGAAGGGGGTAGGTGGAATTCAACAAAATTACTCATTTTTAGCAAGCTTCCCATTTTTGAGTGTATCATCCTGGTCGTTCTCAAAGTTCCAATCGTGTGGGTGGCCCATCTGCAACGTCTTCTTGTAGCCCCAGTACGGGGTAGCCATAAACGTGAACATGCTGAGCGCCGCATACACCGATAGAAACGTCGACCACGGCATGTCCGCCCAGATGGCCTGGTGGTGCGTGAAGGTGTTCCACCTGATGTGACACTCCACCACAGAGCGCAGGTGGAAGGCGTGGAGCAGCACCATTTGATTGACAGTCCACAACCAGCTCCGCCCCAGCCCGCCTTGAGCAGCATCCAGCACAGCGCCGAGAAGGGCGTGCTCATTTCTAAGGTGAGACGCCGCGAAGCCACGGTGTAGCCCGCCTCTGTCAGCACCACGGTCGCGCTGCCGGCCAGACTGAGCCAGTGGTGGAGGTGGAGCATTTTGGACAGGGAGTTCGTCGTACAGTCTGACCAGATGGAACTGAAGAGCTCACAACAATGTTACCATGCCAGGTAGGAAACTCAAAGTTCACACAAAGTACATTGTATTTATTTTATAAATTAAAATTAACTTACATATATATGAAACTGAAGAGCTCACAAAAATGATACACTTATACGATCGTTGAAACGCGCAGCGCAATCTTAATATTGTCTCGCAATTATACGATCTAAAGATTGCACCGATCGGTAAACAGTGCAGAACACTAATATCCCCCCTTTGAGAATGGTCTAAAGACAACTTTAGTCAGTAGCACTGCACTGGTGGGGTGTCTGGATAAAGTAGACTCAACCAATTAAGATATTTTAGAAAGAATAAATAGACTTTCGAGTTTTTCTTGTTTTTGTTTGTTCTATAATATAAAGTGCTTGCATGAGGTAGGGGGTTTAAGTATTGAAGAGTTACTGAGATTGGGGTGTTCTGAGAGGGGATGAAAAAAAGGTGTGGGTAGGGGGAAGGGGGTAGGTGGAATTTTTAAAAATTACTCATTTTTAGCCAGCTTCCCATTTTTGAGTGTATCATCCTGGTCGTTCTCAAAGTTCCAATCGTGTGGGTGGCCCATCTGCAACGTCTTCTTGTAGCCCCAGTGGGGTAGCCATAAACGTGAACATGCTGAGCGCCGCATACACCGATAGAAACGTCGACCACGGCA